GTTCGCGTTTTGTGGAGGACCAGAAGGGGGGGGGGGGGGGGGGAATATATATTGAAGGGTATAGGTGCATCCCTAGTTGTGGGGCATTGGCAGCCCATTCTACATTAATGGGGCTTACCCAACACAGCACAAAATACCATACGATAATGCACTGCAACAGGCTGCCGAGCTGTACACGGGAAAATTTCCTCAGATGACACCACACAGGTTATAATGCAGTGTGTAACTTTTTTTAATGCGATTCACATTTTTAAATGCACATGTTCTGATCATCCACCATGTATCCAACCTGCCCTTATTCTTCCCATGATGCTTAGCCTCCTAGCAGAACAATACCAAAACAGTGTCCATGTAATTATGAAAAGGCAAATAAAACTTCCAAACCTTTAAATGTACCAGGTACTACCCCTTTACATAAAGGGTGGATAAAGGCCCAGATCAAGGTAGCAGTCAGATTGCAGGTGTCCTGTTCCTCACCTATTGTATGTGTCCCATCACACTTATGACTGATGGATCCCAGAATTCAGAATTGGTGCTGCAGTGACAAGTGGATAGTGCCGCAATAACAAAGTCAAAAGAGAAAAGAGTCACCGGCACTCCAACGGTGAATAAACTTTCATCTTTTATTGACACAAGTCCGTCATATCACAAAGCAAACTATGTGATTTGGAGTGCTGGTGACTTTTCTCCATTTGTTGTTCACCTACTGACCATATATACATGCAGGCACCGGTAGGCAATTTTGCAAGCTAGCATTAAAGCACTTAGCAACTATGCAACAAATGCATGTTTATACGGTAAGGCTAAAGTTCTGCTTTAACTGTTGTGATAAGATTTGAGGCACACAATCAGTAAACCGAATAAACCGTGAGCCGAATCACTGTAAAAAGCAGTAAAGTGCAACATCAATGTAGGAATAGGATTTTTTTGAACTCACCGTAAAATCGAAACCTTCATTTTACGGAAGGGTCCTACTCCTGCAAGTGGCATATAACTATTCCGTAAAATGAAAAATTTAGCTGTGTCCTTTATTGAACATAAGAGAAATATGTACTCCCAATAGAACAAAGGTGATCTTCACCAGGGACATGGAGGCAGGATACAGCATTAGCAAGTACAGCAAACATTAGCGGTCACAGGGTAAAAAAAATTATTACGTTGCAACGTTCCGACTCTAAAACATGGTGATAAAAATAGGATTACAGTTACTACGTAAACATGGCAAACACAATGAAAATCAGTCATCTTATGCTGTATTTTAAACAATAGTTTCTCAATGGTTACTGAAAACAAAATGGGCAGACTCACCTACAACTGCGCATTTGTAGGTCATTAAAGATGCCAAGGCTTTTACTTCATCAACGCTGACATCCGTGCTGTAACGAATACCTAAAAGGAAATACAATTATAACCAAGTTAAACTAGGACAGAAACCGTTTTATGATGTTGAACCTCCTTTCACATGGTTTTCCTGGCACAGTAAGACCCGCTGTGTGACTCCAAACACACGTTATATTATGCTTTATTAGTTCCAGGCGGCATGATTTGTCCCCACTGAGGCTGCTCTAATGTTAAGGAAACTTTCACCTTTGTTTGGGGAAATTCGCCCTCACTGTCTTTACCACTGCCAGGAATTCTGATTCTTCACCACACTATCCCAAAATGTTTTAACTAGGTTTCTATTTTAAATGTATTCAAAGTGCAGGTTGTGACTACATCAGTCCGTAATCCCGAATAATGAATCTGTAGCAGATGTACAGCAATTTAAAAAAAAAAAAAAAAAGTAAATAAAACTAGAAAGCTTAAGGTTGAGAGGAATGCAGAGTGAATTTATATGCCAAGAGACGGGGGTACCACACATACAGTCTTAGTAATTGAGTCTGCTATGTGTGCCATTTTCTTTAAACATAAGAGACCAAGAAAAGCCTTACTGGAGCTGCATGACTCATTACTTACTCATTTTTCAGCACTAAAAGTTTCCATTGGATGAAAACCAAAAAGCTTGCAGAACGATGTCCTGCCACTCCCTGAACTCAAAGGAAACCACAGTTTTAAAGAAAAACAAAAAACGAATAACTCTGCTGCAGTATAGATTTTAACTGCCTGGATACTACAACTATTTGCACAGCAACGCTACATTGTTTAAGAAAAAATAACACAACAGGCAGCTGTCTCGGTGTAAGTTTGATAAAGTATAAAAGCTGTAAGGTTTAAAGAAGACAGTCATGCCAAACCGGTAAGGTGCGCACACACTACCTTCAGCTGTTCATGCTTGATCAACTGTAAACACACTGATCTTCATGAAACTACCTAGAGGGAAAATTCTCTCATCAGTCACTGCAGATCCACAGTTGGTGCAATTGGTGGCTTTGCAAGGACTACACCAAATGGGAATGTCTCAACACTATACTGCATAAAGGAACCCACGGTTACTTGCCCCAAACATCTGCCCCAGGTGCCTAGTGACGACCTTCCTTGCTCCTGCCCTAATGTAGGAGGCCAACTGTTGGCCATCAGTGTTACTGTAAATCTTACAACTCTACTTCTAGCTTTTCTTCATTGAATAGCAAGTCATGACTAAGTCATTCGGGCAAGTAACCTGTAAGGCAAGAGTAGCAGCAGTAAACGGAGCTGGGAAACTCCAGCAGCCCTAGGCTGCCCTTTAGCTGAGACTTGTGTCAAGTTAAAATGCCTTCAAGATGAGTGACCAGCACACATTTTTGTCAGCCTCCCATGCTGCTGCTTCAAACAACGCTAGTTTTCCTGCTGAAGGCCTTCCCGCCATGCTCTACGAGACATCTTAAGGAAGCACATACCACTCGTGTGCAGGTGGAAGACATGGGTAGTGGTGTATGCAGTAAGTAGTGCAAGGACGTCAAAAGGAATGTGTACAGCAAGGATAGGCAAACTCCGGCCCTCCAGCTGTGGTGGCACTAAAAAACCCATCATGCCTCCGTCTCTAGGAGTGGTAAAGGTCTTGTAGTTGCACCACAGCTGGAGGAACAGAGTCCGCCAACCCCTGGTGTACAGCATAAAGGAACCCAGGCTTTGCACAAAACTATAACTACTCAGAAAGCAAACCATGGCTGCCCGATCTCCACAGCCCCATTTTAAAATGGGTACAGCTACCCTTTGACTCAGTGGGCTATGTAAGTGGACCCTGCTATGAACTCGAGGCAGATTGGAGTCCAAGTACTGGTGTATGTCCATGTACTACAGAACACCCCTACCCTCTGTTATGGAGAAAAGGAGAGAGGGAGGTTTCTGTAGTCCTCTAGGGTGACAGAGCTGCTTCTTCATAGATGCAGAAAGCGTCGTCACCCTAGGAAGTGTGTTGCTGAAAAAAAAATCAAAAACAAAAAAAAACAGGTGTAAAGGAAAAAGCCAGAAAAAACGAATTCAGCTACCACATATGGATTGGTAAGCAGCAACACCAGACACGTTAAAAGAAAATGCATTAAAAATACTGCCCTTACCCTTGGGTTGCTGAACCTTCCCGTTGTTGATGTCACTGGGACTCACTCCAGGATCTTGGGAAAGCTCAGGATTTCAAGTCTCATGAATGGACACTTCTGTACTCAACAGGAGCATGTTCCTGCAGGATTCAGGATCCTCAACAGGACCCACTGTCACCCCACCTAGGCAAGTCCATTAGTATTTTTGCACATTGCATTTTCATGGAAGGTCTGCTGTAAACTACTCAAGACTTAAACTTCAGTCAGGGTTGCAGGCCAGACCTGACCAAGAAAAGATCCAAGTTTATCTTGTAGGAACAACAATAGCAATTAGCAAGAAAAACCCATTCAATCAATTCCTTTCCTGAGAAGGCGCTGCCAGGGAATGTCTAAAGGTCAGGGAGCACTTCCAGATATACAACTAACCAAACAGATCGGGTGAGATTATTTTGTCTGCAGGCACCTGGAAGCCTATCTCCAGCAAAAAGTTAAAAAAAAAACTCCTTGTAGTGGGGCTAACCCCGTACTGCAAGATCTAAGTCGTGTGGGTGCCCACCCCCCCAAGATTGTGGCACCAATGGGCTGTGGTGACTACTCAGCTGTAAGGAAAGTTTGTAAAGGTAACTCTTATTGGATCAGAACTCCAGACAAATCATTTCTGGTAAAAATCAGAAAGGGGTTGAATCGGTCGGGTTTGTTGTCCACGTTCCAAGAGCGGAAAATCTCTACATGTCTTAAGACACAAGGGAAATCTCCCCACGCCAGGGCAGTTTCAGACATTCCTGCTGTGACATAACTACACACGCATTAATGTGCGGTATTTTGAGCATTCTGGTAAGGATGCCCATTCATTCGGAGGGGGCTGAACAAACCACAGGATTAAGTGGAACCCCTGCTTTTCACTGCTTCACATGCATGTGTTGGGTTGTGCTGGTTATGTGCATGGAATGGAATACCAGATGTATTATTAAACTGGTTTCTTAGGTGCATAGCACGAATTTTCATGAATGGAAGTAACGATCATGGTTGCAATGTTCTTTGCTCAAGAAATTAGATATTTCCCATCCTGAGCCTTAGAGTTCTCATCTGCGAAGTCAAAATAATCCTTGATTTTCACCCATTACAAAAAATTCTGACAAAATGATTCTAAAGGTGGCCATACACTATAGAACCATCACAAGACCTTAGTCTTGCGATGGTTGTAAAGTGATTAAAAAAAACGTACGATCTGCCTATCTTGGACAGGCAGATCGCACTCTCGATCATCGCAATGCTGAACGGGCAGTGTGCGCACACCGGCCCGTTCGGCATTTGTCTCCCGAGCACTGTTCAAACCAGCCGAAAATCGTACGATTCTCGGCTGGTTTTCTAACATGCTCCTTAGATAAAAGACGTGCGAGCGTACAGTAGAAACGGTCGCACGTCTTCGTTCACACTGTTAGATTCTGGTACGATCGCGGGATTTCCCGCGATTCTCGTACGAGAATCGAGCAGTGTATGGGCACCTTAAAACTAACTTTTTGGACTAGATCTCACTAGTGTATGGCCAGCTTAAAGCATACCTTTACAATAACAAACACACCTTTAGAAATGTTTATTAATGACAATCTACAAACAGACTTCTAGATAATTGCCGACTTTGTATTCATTGGATACCTTGTTTCTCCTTTCTTCCCTAGTCTTCTGACAGGGGCCATTTAATTAAAGGCAGATTACCAGCTCTCCTATTACTTCCTAGATTTCGTGCACACGTGACTAGGACATGTGACCATGCACATAATCTCTGGGGATAGAAAATGCTTTTCCCTGAGATTACAGATGAGATTTCCCAGCAATGCTCTGTTGATGACAAAGCAATCCCAGTGTGTATCGCTTTGCCAAACTGAAGTCATTTGCCCTTTCAAAGCTGGAATTGAATGCTCTGTAAGTGTAAGTATTTAACAATCACAGCATTTTACACCTGACATGTCTATTATTAATCGTCATACATAGAGGGATACATTGGTAGAATTTGATTTGACTGTAAAGGAGCTTTAATAGAGGCACGGAAAATAGTTTCCAAATCCCAGCAAATCAAAAAAGGGGGGGGGGGGGGGGGCACCTCTCTCAAATTGCTTTTTTTCAGGTTAGGAACCGTCAAATCTTGTCATGTGACCCCTGTTAAACAGCAATGCAGAATACCACCAGCTATAAAGTTAATAAACACCCAATGGTTTAGGAAATGGATCTCATTCTGGAGTTGTGCCTTGCAGAACCCCAAAACAGGTGTGTATGGCATGCACCAACCCCAAAACATGTTTACATCATGCACTACCCCAAAACATGTTTACATCATGCACTACCCCAAAACATGTGTACAACATGCACCAACATCTTGCACACATTGCTAATTCAAAGAGGTGAAGCTTCTAGGCAATTCAGAAGCCGAGCTGTTTCCCATCACGCGTCTGTTCAAGGTAAACCACGCGATTGTTGCGCGTTTTGCAATGCATAGAAATGTCTATGGGACCCAAACCGCACGACGACAACCACCCGAACATGCGATTTCGGTCACGCGACAAACCGCAAAAGGTGTGAGCAGCCTCCATTGACTATAATGCGAATGTGTTTTGCACGATATCGTGCCTAGGTGTGCACCGGCCCTCAAGTGCTGGTGAAAAGGTTTGTTCATCACATAGCTCATAAGCGATGACAGAATGACAGCAGGCACATAGTTAAAACAGCATTCCCCTCCCCAAGTGTACCCCATGAAACTTCCATGAGTGGTAAGAATGATGACTGATAATGAGAACTTATATTTCATGGAACAACCACATCTACTAGACCACAATCCCCAAAGGGACTGGACCAAGAACATCATGCAGGTAGACCATCATGCAAGGTTCACCAAGAAGAACAATGACACACGCACAGTCCCTGGAGACAATGGAAGAGGTTACACCCCAGGCCTTTCTTCACAGTGAAAAGGAATCAGGGGAGGAGGTTACTCTTCCAATAAGGGTCATAAAGATAAAAGCTAAGGTTCACATTCACTAACACTACAAGAATGTAAGGACAGGCAGACAGGCACTTCTATACTGTCACCCACTGCCATGTCCATGAACACTACAGTGACCAGACGTCACACAGTGACTCCGGATTACACGTCTTGGTTGGTCCATGTGCTGCCAATAAGCTGTGCTCTAGTCACACCGCGATCAAGAGGACTACAACAGCTGCATGTTCCCCATGTCACTCTCTCCAGGATGACATCATATGTCACCTTAGACTTTGTGTTGCAAATCAGTTTTATTCCTCCCTGTTTGGAAAATCTTAAACAGTTCTGTAAAAGCGCCATCATAATCCTAGACTGGTAACGGTATCTCAGCTTTAGAAGCCAATAGAATAGAAGTATTCATGTGCCTGGCTGCTCATGTCATGGCTGGGACACCCAGAGGGCAGATCTTCCCCCAGGCAGAGCAGCTGAGTGTCTGGCAATGACAGAGCGCTGCCCCCCTCTTGCAAGCCGAGTGTCCCTGGCAATGACCGTGCCACCCCCTCTAGCAAGCTGAGTGTACCTGGCAATGAACAAGCCCCTCTACCAAGCTGAGTGTACCTGGCAATGAACGTGCCCCTCCTCTACCAAGCTGAGTGTCCCTGGCAATGATAAAGCCCTTCAACCCCACGCAATGACATGTTCATTGCAATGACATAGCCCTACTTTCATACGGAGTGTCACCTGCAATGACAGAACCCCCCCACCCCCCCCATACTCGCCTCCTTTGCAGGGGGTGCGGTGCTGGCTATGCTGGGCCCGGTAGCCCTCCACCACCTCCCAGTCGCCATTGTCCCTCTTGATCGGGAAGCTGACACTCAGGATATGGTTGCAGGGCTTGATGATCCGCAAGATCCCCTTCACCCTCTTTCTTTTCTGTTCCTCCGTCTCCCGGGTACGGAGATCTTCCACCAGCTTGTCCTCCACGATCCCGGCGCCCCGGTCGAAGAAGCCCTCCACCATCTTAAAGAAGTTAGGGTCATCTTCCTGGTCCACGGCATGGCTGTAGCGGCGGAGGAAGGGGGTGGTGGCGGCAGGCAGTGCTGTGTCTGCAGCGCAGGCCAGGGCTCCCCCTCCCCGGGACACGAGCTCCCCTAGATAACGATACATGGTGGACACAGAACACTGGGAACAAGCACAAGCTGGGAGAGTACAGCCTGAGCAGACGCCTATATAAGGAACGCGCCAAGCGCGGGGCCGGAGGGGCGGGGAGCGCGTGCGCGGGACGGGGCGCCGTGTCAAACCCCTATGCGCGTGCACGGGAAGGCGAGCTGTGAACGCGCACAGGACATTGATCTACACATCCAGAGACATGCGCTGACTGTTGGTTGTGTATTTATGTGGAGTATGTACTGTGAGGCCAGAGATTATAAATGGTTATTTCACCTTTACATCACTTTGAAAAAAAGTACCTATGCATTTCGAATTTAAAAACCAGGCACCAGGCCTTCATTTACAAAATATGCCTGTAGGCCATGCGGAGTCCCCGAACCCCTTAGTGCAGGAATAAGTGCCCTGGCTCATTCACGACATGCGCAGCACGCTTTCTGTCGCAGCAGCAGCTGAGCTCAGCGTTGCACAACAGAAGTAAAGCGCTCGCTGCGCATGTTGCCAGTGAGTAAGAGCGCTTGTTCCAGCACTGATGAAGCCGCATATCGCCTACAGGTATGAACTAACCCTGTAAAGAAGGACTGCAGAAAAAAAAAATGTCTTCACATATGCTGCTACAACTAGTTAGGTCCCGTGAGGTGTATGCAGACATGCCAACATCTTACGGTCGTTGCGGGAGTCTACCACTATTAGATAGTGGCTCCTGGCTGCCCGGGAGAGAAACATTTGTCTGTCTGTTTTTTAATTAATATCCTGATATCAGGGCCGCCGTCAGAGTAAAAAAAAAAAAAGACAGCAAAGGAATGAATTGCTAGATTGCTATTAGCTATTTGGGTTTGCAATAGCCAACAGCAGATAGCAAAGAAGCTACTTCAGAAAAAAGCCTGCAGATAGCAAAGAAGCTATTGCTTCCTCTGCTATCTGCCATCATTTCAGGGGGTGCTCTCTCCCAACCCCCCTAACCTCCCTCCACGGATAGGGGGGGCGTAGAGGGCAACTCCCTGAAATGAGAAGGACACCTCCCTGAAATTACTTTTTTTTCAGGTTGGGATCCCTGTGTATGACAGATCAGAAATGGCAGCTGTCATATTTGTGTCTTGACCTAACCCAGGATTATGTTAGACCAGTATTTCTCAACCTTTTTTCGGTCATTGCACCTTTTGAAAGTATTTCAAGGCACCCCAGTCTAAAATGTAAAAAACTTAAATGTTAAGATGTAAAAAACAGCATGAGCCCCTTTCAACCCAATTATTATAACACCTTTATCCTAGACAGAGGTCTTGTGTGAATACTATGGGGAGGCCCCAGGCAAAAAACAGAAAAAGACGAAGTGGAGTTTCCCCCTTTACATCAGAGTGCCCCCTTTCACATCAGAGTGCCCCCTTTCACATCAGTAGCCCCCTCTTTCACATCGGAAGTCCCCTTCCTCCCTTTTTAACAAAAATGTGAAGGCACCCTGATGAAGCCAGAAGGCACACCAAGTTTCCATGGCACCCTGGTTGAGAAAGACTCTTTTAGAGTCTATTGTCTATTAGACAATGGAAAACAATTCTCCTTCCAGCTCCTGCTGTTCTAATGTGCGGGGTCTGTTTGACAAACCATAGTGCAAATCTAAAGATGTGTGTGGGGCTTGGTGCAAAACAAGTGAGCCTGAGTTCTTTCGATTTTGCTCAAAACTGTTCTTAACACCCCTCATGGTCCAATTAGTTGCGGCAGTGGTTGGCCAACCTTTCCCTCATTTAAAGGGACTGTGCTTTTGGAACCTAATACATCTGTCCCTCATTACTCCTCAAAAATCTATCTTTTAGCTCTGGTGTAGAAATAAGTGCAAATAAATGGTACTATTTAAGACCTTTTTCCCCAAACTTGCACAGATAATCAGCGCATGCTCTTAGTCTCCTTCATTGTAGTCCAAACCTTCCTAGGAGCCTTGCTACCAAACCTTCCCTGATTTTATGGCTAAGCCTTGTCAACTCATTTCACTGCTCAATGAGGTTCCTAAGTGGTCAATGAGAGCACTCCCACTGAATTAGACAGAATAGGCTTTTCCAGCTAATAAGGGTAACAGTAAGATTTTTTTTCATAGTGTTTGTTCTTGAGGCCCATTCAGATGGTTGATTAGCCTATTCACCAGCCAGCGGAGAAGTTTTGCCCCATGCATACCCTGTCTGTGGCTGGATAGGGCCAGGCCTGTACTCAGTACATGCAATTAATGCCTCTGACCGGCCCTTTTATACAATAACAATTGTTATATTCAGCAATGAGAGCTAAAAATAACAATAATTATAGAAAATAACACATGCGTTAAAAATTGAATTAAGCCATATGCTGTAGTATTTTTTTAGGGAAAGACTATGCAAACAAGATGATCCAATGCATTAGCAGAAGCACAAGCAATACATCTGATGAACATAGACACCCTATGTCAGGATGGTTTCACTTTATTTCATGAACTTCTATCCTGTAATAGTGACTTGAGGCACAAAAGATCCATGGTCAGATATAATGATTAATTTTACAGGTAAGAATGAATGAAATGTTTATTCAGGAGCACTCTAGGAGTTTACAAAGCATGATGCAACAACTGAATATTGTCCACCTAGCTGCATTCCTGTGACTGAAAGCATATTGCTGAGGCAAGATCTCATAGGAAAAATCATAGCGTAGAGTAAACAGTAAAAACGTGGTGTGCAAGTACCAGCTTGGCTCTTAATACACAGACTATCCCTTACATTATTTTAAAGGGTTAGTTCACCTTTATAGAAAAATAACCTATACTGTCCGTTTACACCATCCCACAACCCTGAACTAAGAAGATTTTACAATGAGCATTCATACTGTTTTCATAACTTTCATCCATTAATGCAAGGAGTGACACCTTTCCCAAAAATCCTTGCAGTTTCCAAAGGTCCGCCCTATATACTTTTTAGGACAGACCAGCCTTGGGACAATTTCCTCCTAGTGGTACTGGAGCAAGCACAGTCCTTCTCTTGGTCCCCCAAACATGCGCAGTGTGCTCTGTCTCCAGTCACAGCCGCTGAGCTCATCCATTGAGACAAGAGACAGCCTTCTGCCAACTCCCTGCACATGCGCAGTGTGCTCTGTCTCCAGTCACAGCCATTGAGCTCATCCACAGAGACAAGAGACAGCCTTCTGCCAACTCCCTGCACATGCGCAGTGTGCTCTGTCTCCAGTCACAGCCATTGAGCTCATCCACAGAGACAAGAGACAGCCTTCTGCCAACTCCCTGCACATGCGCAGTGTGCTCTGTCTCCAGTCACAGCCATTGAGCTCATCCATGGAGACAATAGACAACCTTTTCCCAACTCCCTGCACATGCACAGTGCGCTCTGTCTCCAGTCACAGCCATTGAGCTCATCCATGGAGACAACAGACAGCCTTCTTCCTACACGGTGTGCTCTGTGTCCAGAGTAGATTGCGCATGTGACGGGGTATCTAGAAAAGAATGGTGCTCGCTCCAGTACCACTAGAGGCTGGTCCGTCCTGGTTATCTTAGCCTATCTCACATTGCATGACCTCTGTTATTTTTGCTATGCAGGGTATTCTTGGAAGATATTATGAAGAAAGATTTTAGGCTGATATACTATCAGTGTTGTAAAATCTATTTAAAGTGACTCTTTAAACAAACAAAAAAAAAAAGTTTTTGATTTTTTTTCTAAATCACCTTGTAAAATGAGGGGGATAATACTCACCCGCCCCAATACAGGTTCCTCCAATCTTTACTTTCTTGCAGACCTAAGCTGGACGAAGAATCTTCAACATGCAATATGCTTCTGGCAGCAGTGGTTGCCTGCATCCCCTGCTGCAAGCTATGGTTCCACCAAGCCGCAACTTCACTACAGCCTGCCAACAATAAACATGACAACATTTAACTATATCACTGTCTGTGCCTGCACAGCTACTGTTATTAGCAAAATGTCTTGTATTCTTTTCACAGGAAAGGAGACGTTCTGTGAATGGATGGCGGGAGGGGTGGATGAACATCACAAAGTCCACCTCATCTATTCATACAACACCTTGTACCCTGTGAAAAGAATACAAGACATTTTGTGAAAGAAGAGGTGGAGAGCAACTGACTATCATCACTGTACTGTAAGTTTCAGCACCTGAAGTTCTAAGTTTGAGATGCATATAAATAGTAGCTTTATCTAACACAGCAACATATACGAATGGGACACCCATCATTGGATTTTATTTATTTACATATAGCAAATGTCAATAAAAACATTTCCCTGGAGTTTAACTAGGTGCAATGCTCATTTCAGGTGGGCGGATCTATGCAAGCATTACAATGATAGAGACAGGAGCTCCAGTGGACACAATCCATGTGCAATTGCCTTATTTTAATTGTAAGTGCATTTTAATCGTTTTAAATAATTGTTTTCTGACATACTATACTATGGGAAGCCTTTTTTTCTCCCTCTGAGTACAAGAGAAGATGGAGGAATAGTTTTACATGATTTTGGAAAGATATGCCAGAGTTGGGAGGAATCTACCCCAATTTATTGTCGGATTAAAAACAAAGGAGAGGATTTGGTTCTATATATATCAACAAAGTGCTAATTGTTCATCTGAAATATGGTGAGCAATAGGAGTCGGTGAGTGCTGCCAGATCTTATCTTTGAGCACGGTGGAGACTGGAGAGCACTGATTCACTAATTGTTGATGCATTCACGGACGTGATGTTGATTATAAAAGATCACAGGCATTGTGCAACACAGGTGGTGTGCATAACACAAAATTGTTTATCACTTTGTGACAATTTCACATTTAATACAATTTTTTTCACATTTTAGGAAAATTATTTTTGAGTTTTGCGCAGTGCTATTTTCTTTCTTTTTTCCTATTTTGGGTGTACTCACCTATTAAGCACAGCTGCTCATAGGCCTGGTTCACACCTGGGTGTTTTGTAGCGCGTTCGAACGCCGAACACGCCGAAATCCCATTATTTCCTATGAGTATGGTTCACACCTGGGCGTATTACAGGCCGTAGGAACGCACTACAAAACGCCCTACGCCCAAAGAAGTACAGGAGCTTCTTTGGGGCA